GTATATGTATATACACACACACACACTTACACAAACATACATACAAACAAACATGCACACATTAAAAAGGAGATAAATAACTAACTAAATAAATTACATTACAATTAGAGAAGTAAAATAAAACAAAAACTACAAACATTTTAATTAATTTCCGTGTCAGGAAGCAAGGTGGTGGAGTCTACTCAAGATCGAAAAGYTTTCCAAGTCTCTAAAAATTTGCTGGCAGAGCCCTTAAGTGAAAACCTGAGTTTTTCCAGTTTCAGTTTGTAGAGAATTTCTTTCACCCAGTGGTKATGYGAGGGAGGGGTGCCCAGCTTCCACTTATGTAAAATAAGTCTGCGAGCTAAAAGAGTGGAGAAAGCTAAAACCTGTTTCAGAGAATGAGAGAGGTCCGGGTCCAAAGGAATGCCAAATATAGCTGACAATGGATTGGGGAGGACGGTCTGATCATATGCTCGACTAAGTGTTTTAAAAAGTATTGCTCCAAAACCCACTTAATTTAGGGCAAGCCCAAAACATATGGGTATGATTAGCTGGTGACTGAAGCAGAGAAACATTTAAAACATGGAGGACGGTGTGCCTTGAGGACCAGGGTTGAAAAACACTGCTATAGTAAGTCCTCCAAAATTATATATAAAAAAATACCCATACACGTCATCCAAAATGATTAAAAAAAAAAAAAAACATACATCGCATAGAAAGGCAATCAAAAATCTGAAGAAATATCACATACGTTTTTGTTTTTTTTTTTTTGGACGACTTACATACTTATTCTATGCATTTTTTAGCCAGTTTCTTTAATGCACCTCTAGTGGTTTATAGGATATTTTGGTCACACATGTGGCAATACCTTAAAAACAGAGACAAGCACAGYAACTTAACGCTTCTGCTCTCACCTTCACCACCAAGTCCACAAAGCCTTTGTCGTCGTCGCTGGACACCGGTGTGTACGGGCGCACAACCAGCTGCCCATTTATTCTAGCAGACAAATAAATGTGCTGCCCTGGAAAGGAAACATTGTTCTTACAAATCACGGTGACACAATCAGCTTTGAAACAATGTCTTTGAACAGAGTCAAACAAATGTTTCACATGTCAGTTTTCAATGTTTTTCTACATGCAAAATGGCTCTGACCAATGCTGAATATCAGACTTAAACACATGGTATTTATTTTAAAATGTTCTCATACATTCTGCAATGGTATATTGACTGCTTGAGATCACATACTGACCAATAGGAAGGCCGAGGATGTGTTCAGGAGAAGGCAGCGCAAAGCGGAACTTCCTTGTGTCATGACTGACAATCTAAAACAAACAGAGTACTTCATAAAATACACACCGAAGTAACACAACTGTACGAATCTGGCATTTATACAGTATACAGGTGCACGTGGTTGTGTTCAGCCTGATTACCTGTTTGTCAATAAGCCGCAGAGCATATTTAATGCTTGGGTCCTCCAAGGTGATGGCACGTCTCTTCTTGGAGAAGAAAAGTCTGAAGATGAGGTTGATGACTGCGTCAAAACCGCCTCGAATCAGCTGTGAGATGAAGGTCAAAAACAGAAGAATGACTCAGACCACCAGCTAACATTAGCTGCAGACTGGTTAAGACCTCTGCAGGGCGTTGTCAAGCTAAAAGTCACTTAAACCCCTAACAGGGAGAAATGAGTCACGCCAATTCCTGCGGAGAGGCCCGTCCGCACTTAAGTTTGGAAAACTGAACGTTTGCCTTTTGACCATTGCTAACAAAACAGCGAAAAATAAAAGTAATTTTAATTTAAGGTTGCATTAATCTATACTTACGCCAATGATGTAGGACAACATTTTGAAGCTATTTGGAGTGGAGTAGAGTTGTTTATCAGGTCGAGTAGCTACACACAAGCTGTGTGACGGTGGAGCTCTGTTTGAAGGAAGGCTAGCCTAGCAAGTTAGCTAGCATGGAAAAGCACTTCCGGTCAAAGTTCCTGAAAATAAAAGCACGATTTGAGAACAAATGATTTGAACTTGTTAAAAGTACACAAATTAAAAAGTTCGAAAAGTTAAAATATAAGTTAATGTATCATTTTCAAAGCACGCACATATCATATGCCTAAAAGTTAAGGCTTGCTTCAACAAACGAAGCATTAAAAAGGGGCGTGTTTTCTACACTTCCGCTACATCGACTCATGTTTGCGTACTTAACGCATTGACGTCACTTCCTTACGGGCTTGGACTTTCAAAATTAAAAGACAAGAACAATTGACAGAGAAAACGAAAATCAATATACAAATTGTGACATTTGTGTGGCGTTCTTTTTATCTGCTTTTATCTGATTGTTTTCTACACTCACCGGCCACTTTATTAGGTACACCTGTCCAACTGCTCGTTAACACTTAATTTCTAATCAGCCAATCAC